TAGTTTTTTTACCAAATCCCAAAAATATAAATAATGTAGAACACTTTATTTACACCCTCTTGACTTTTGCGCTTTCATATAATTCTAATCCTAGAAGTTATCATTTTCATTGCATAATAGAATAAATATTTTTCTTTCCTCACACCTTTTCCTTTTTCATTACCCTTTATACCTCCCTGCATTTCTCTCCCTCCATCTGGGATCCTTTTTGGTGCCTGAAAAACTCCTTGTTTGTATTTCTTTGAATGTAGATCTGTTGTAAGAAATTTGCTGGGTTTATTTCTGAAAATATTTTCTTTATTGTACCTTTAATTTTTATTTTTTTTACTACATGTATAGAACTCTGGGTTTATTGTTTGTTTATTTTAGAACTTTGAAATATTATTTCATTGTCTTCTGACTTATGTAGTTGCTGTTATGAAGATACTTGACAGTTTTATTTTTGTTACTTGGAAGATAACTTGTCTTTTTTCCCCTGGCTATTGGTTTTTGGTAGTTTTTACTACTATTTGATGAAGTGTGCTTTTCTTCTTGTTGTTTGTATTGTTTCTTAAATCAGCAGATTGAATTGCTTTTGGAAAATTCTTTTTTTTTTTAGAAATTTTACTTTTTTTAAGGATTTTATTTATTTTATTTATTTTTAGAGAGGGAAGGGAGGGAGAAAGAGAGAGAGAGAGAAAGAAACATCACTGTGGGGTTGCTGGGGGTCATGGCCTGCAACCCAGGCATGTACCCCGACTGGGAATCGAACCTGCGACACTTTGGTTCACAGCCCGAGCTCAATCCACTGAGCTACGCCAGCCAGGGCTTTTGGAAAATTCTTGAACATTACTTTCGAATTTTGCTTCTGCCTTGATTTTTTCTCTCCTTTTCTAGAACTCCAGTTGCACCCATGTTACACTGTTTTAAGGCCCACAGTTCTCTCATGCTGTTTTTCTGTATCTTCCATTCCCCCTTTTCTTTTTATTTCAGACTAGATATTTTTAATTTAATGCTAGAAATTGTGTATAAAAAATTAAAGAAGCTTTGGATGATTTTTCTCCAGAGGAGGTTTTGATTGGCTTATGACAGACGAATAACATAGTATTACATCAGTTAAATCTAATAAGGAATTAAGCACAATTGAGTCTTTGTGCTTAAGATTCAATTAGCCTTAATTATTTTTAGTCTTTGGGAAGCCTGGTCTCTATTTCTGGTTTGCCCTTACTTATAAAGTATAGCCTTTTGGGGTCCTCAAATGAAAGCCTGGGAGATTTTCTATTACCTCACAGTTGTAAAGGACACTTAATTTTTTCTTTCTTCCTCACATGTAAATTGATGAGAGCTACACTTTGTTTTTCCAGTCTCTTGGCAGCCATCTTATAGTTAGTTGCCTCTCAAACTGTGGTAGGTAGTTAGGCAGACATGCGCAGAGCAAGGGTGGTGCATGAGATATAGAAGGGTCACCAGGAAAGAAAGCAATGAGCAAAGTGGGGAAAACAAAGACCTCATCCCTAGAGTAACCTTTGCTTTCTTGGCATGTTGCAAGTCATGCAGGTTGCAAATCATGCAGAAAAACAGGGCTAGAGAATAGTTTTAAGCCCCTTAAAGCTCAGCTTTAAGCCCCCAGAACGATGAGGTTCTGACCCACATCAAACACAGATAGGCCTCAGTTTTGTTTCAGCTCCAGACCTTGAAAAGCAGCAAAGCCAGATAAGCTCACCATGGCTGACACCTGGACCAGCTGCATTGACTAATAATAGCCCCTTGACTTGGTGCCAACCACTCACTAAAGACCATGATCCTGAAAGGATGTGCCTGGAAACCTGATGAGTATTCTACTGGGATCCGCCCTTGACACTTCCAGATAAATACCCTCAGGATGAAGGACCCAGTGTAACTCTCACTCCTGGGAGCACGTCCACGCTGTTCCCCACTCCCCCACTTCTTCCCTCCTGGCCAGGTACTGTTACTTTCTCTCTCCTAAGCTCCAAGGGCCCTTCTTTTGCCTTTGTAACTTGTTTCCTGAGCCCATTCCCTCTAAGACTCACTTCTACTACCTCTGTGACTTTCTGAATAAACTTTTGCTGGTATTTGAGTCTTGACCCTGAATTCTTCCTTGGCCAGAACTCAAGTACTGAGATCCAATTGCTAGTGACATTCTGGTGTCATTCTTGCCACCAACAAAATTTCCAAGCTTCTTATGGAATGTTGAATGAATTGTAATGAAACTGGCTCAGATCTTTCTTTTCTGTACTTCCTTTATCTCTATAATCTTTTCCTCTCAAATTTCTGTGTCTTGGTGGTTTTAAACTCCAATTCTCACTCCCCACAACCCTATAACACTTTAATTTGTTCTATTCTACTTCTCTGTAACTTAGTAGCCATGTTCTGCTCAGCTTTTCGGCATCTCTGTGAATTTAAAAATTGGCCTCAATGGAAAAGAAGCAAAAACACCACACTCATTTTAGTGAGCTTCTCTTTTCTCCATCATCTTAGTCTCTCAAATTCTCATTGTCTGCATAGCTTTCCTATCCTATGACATCAATGAGAATGAGATTTTTTTTTGCATTTGATCAAAGTTTTTAAGTTTTTTTCTTTCTCTACCTTCCCTTTTTTCTTCCCTCACACTTTCTTCTTCCCTTTCTCCCCTTTTTCTTTCTTCTTTCTCTTTCTTTCTTTCTTTCTTTCTTTTTTTTCTTTCTTTCTTTCTTTCTTTCTTTTTCTTTCTTTCTTTCTTTTCTTTCTTTCTTCCTTCCTTTCTTTTGCTTCCTTCCTTCGTTTCTCTCTCCCTCTCCCCCTGCCCCCACCTTCCCAACAAAACCAGAAGCTACTTGGTAATTTCTGCTATTAAACATACTCTATTTTAAATGTTTTCCTTCTTTTGTTTTAGAATTTTCACTCTTTTCCTTTAGTATCTGTTTGCAGAGCCTTTCTGCATCAGTTCACATTTGCTTTATAACAAAGAACCCATGCATTCGTGGATTAAAACAACTATTTATCTCACAATACTGTGGGTTGGCAAATTGAACTTGGCTCAGCTGAGCAGATCTGTTGCTCCAAGTCAAGCTTGGCTAATCTTGTATGGGCTCACTCGAGTATCTGTTGCTGGCTAATTGACGTGTTTTGGTTTTTCTCTATGTGGTCTCTCATGCACCAACAAGTCATTCTTATGCTTTTTTATGAGATGGCAGGATTCCACACACAGAAGCAGAAGCATGCATTCAAAACCCTCTTCAGAAATCAGACACTGTTGACTCTCCTGCATTGTTCTGACAAAGGAGGTCACAAGGCCAGCCCATATTCAGAGAGATAGACTCTGCCTCTTGTTGAGAGAAGCTACAAAGAATTGTGGTCATATTTTTAATCTATAACATTTGCTAAAGTCATCATGAATTCTAATATTTAAGTCTCTTGGACTTGTGTATATTAATACTTATCTCCACTGCAAAGAATGATAGTTTTTCTTTTCCAATTTTTACAGTGCCATTTCCTTTCATTGCCTGATTTCATTGAATAGACCACCCAGTGCAATTTCAAATAAAAGTAGTCTGTGTCATCACGAGAACCCTATAGGAAGAACCCTGTATTTCAGCAGAGCTCTATGGTTGTACTGTCTACCCCCTTATTTCCTTTTCCCTTCTACATGCTCCTTCTCCACTTTCGTCTGGGGGCAGTGTGTGCATATTGCTCACCATGTCTGTGTGCTCTGGATTGCAATCCTTTATTTTTGCTCAATAAATCATTTTGGGGGACAGAATACCTAGTCATTTTTGGTTTCCAGCTGACCCTAAGTTGTATCATCATTCCATGTTTGGCTCTTTAGTTCTCTTCCAATACTTTTGTAACCAGTAGATTTCTTCAGATTTTGGTGCCATTTTCCAGACCAGACCTTAATCAATATACATCTGCACTAATGTTTACATAGAATACAATATATTAAAATGTATATATAAATTTTGCCCCCCAAATTGTTCAGTAATTAAATTTGTTGAATGAGTGAATATATGGCTAGAAGTGTTACTTGAAAGGATAGTTTCATGTTTCAAAGTTAAACTTCCAAATTCCTATCAGAATTCAATGTAATTATATACTGATGATGAAATTTTAGTAAGAGTGATTAGAAGTGATGCTAAGAAATTTGAATGGAACTACAGGATTAAAATGATGACATAGTCAGAAATTCAGAAATGAAGGGTAGATCTAGAGGCAAGGATTGCAGTCAATATTAAAACAAGTAGCTTTTGAACCCTTTCACTTTGACCAACAGTAAGAAATATATTTCACATGGAGAATGAGCACAACCATACATGCATGAGCTGCCTGCTGCATTTCCATTCATCTTCTTCTAGTCTGTCACATCCCGTCCAATATGCTGTTATCCATATGACAATATGATACATACTGTCTGAAAAACATGGGTCTAGACATAAGAACCATGATCGTCTCTGAAAATTTATCTAAGATTAAGGCAAAACTAATCTTTTGTTCACTCTTTGTCTTCCTCCTCAGAGGCTATCCCTTGTTTTTCTGAGCTCAGCCTATATTCACCTCCTTTCTGGTAATAGCAGCATAATTTTCCCCTTAGAAATTATCCCTTTCCTTTTATTACTCCGTAGGGTTCAGGCCAATATCCTGCCCACCTCACGTGTTCCCCAGTGCTCTCCAATTCTAACAGCTCTGGGGGAGGCACGTCATTTGGTGCTGGTCAAGTAGAGTAGCCATCTCTGACTACAAAGGATACCTCAGTAATAGTCACACGGGCTAAGAAAGGCAAATGAGCTCTGGTGCCAAAAACAAGTTCTTGTTTTGCCAATTGGAAGCCGGTGAAGATCAGGCTGTAGATCGTGGAAGCGTCGCATGGAGAAAGCTACCTAGGAGCAGAGCCAACGAGAGGACAGAGATGGGGGAAGACTAATGACAACATTTGTGACTTTGGGTCCAGTCTCCTTTTCCAGAGCACCTGCAAAAGTGTCTTTTGAAATTCTAATGTAAAAAAAAACACTACCCAGCAGATGATATTTAGTATGTGAAAGGATTTATATTTTATTAAAAATGTACATTTTCAGACCTCTTTTGTATCCTAATTTATGAACAAATAGAGCAAAAACAGACAGAAATCATTACATAATCACTTGTATCTTCAATGGTACTACAAGTACCTAAAATTATTTTTCTATGAAAAAAAAAATGAGTTGGATATTTCAATGTCATTATCAAATCTCAGCCTTTTTTTTAGCATCCACACATCTTTAGTTTTGCTGCTCTGCAAGCCCCACTTCATTTATTAGAAAAAAATACATATTATTCACATTAGAACTTTCACTAAAAAAAACAATTAAGGAAACAAAGCTCCCCCAAATTTAATATTTATTTTCTCAACCAGTACATAGAGATATCATATAACATTATAGATTTATTTAAAGCTATTTAAAGAAGATAAATTTCAATGTAAAACAACTTTTTAAAATATAAATCATATTTTTCAATTCTACTCAGTGTTAAATGTCGGCAGTTTATGGATTTGGAAAAAAATCGAAGTAGAAAGTATACGGAAAGCTGCCAATGCAAAGAATTATCCATAAATGAAAAGTGTCAGCTACAACTTTGAACATTACAGTTGAAAGATATAGACAATAAGTGATATTGTCCACTAGATATGTCCACTACATACAGTACCCATATGGTTCACTAATTGGTGACTGCCACAACGCATGAGCAAGTCTGTGCCTAGTCATATAACTTTATTAGATGTTCGCTGATGTTCATTCCTTGGTGTGTTTTAAAAAATACATTATGTTAAGCACGGGCTGTGAACCAAAGTGTCACAGGTTCGATTCTCAGTCAGGGTACATGCATAGGTTGCAGGCCATGACCCCCAGCAACCGCACATTGATGTTTCTCTCTCTCTCTCTCTATCTCCCTCCCTTCCCTCTCTGAAAATAAATAAATTTGAAAAAACATTATGTAAAGAGCTAGACAACTGTTACTCATATTCAAATTCCTTCTTAGAAGTAAACAGTTTGTTCTCTATGGCAGAATTACAACAGAGCAACACGCGGCAGCACTCCAGCATCTCCAGGAAGTACGTATTCATCTCCCACGGATGGATTTTGTTCCAAGCTGAGAGCTCTAGAGTTAGCTGACAGGGTGAATCACTTATACAATATTCCTATTTTGTATTTTCTATAAATGATAAGAAGAAATGGTTGAATAAAAATGTTGTGCTTTTGCTATTATTAGCATTAATTATTGCTTGCAAATAGGATTACCTAATGTGGGTATAATTAATGATTGTATCTTAAAATCCCTGACAGAAAACAGAAAAAAAATCACAGTTATTTTTACCTCTTGTGATAATGGCTTTGAACATGTTCAGGCTGTGACAAAATTGGTTTCCTCTTCTTCATAGCTAGAGAACACTAAATAATTTCTGGAGATCAGAAAAAAAAGTTTCACCAACAGGTAGGCATTTTTGAAGTTGGTACAAATAAACAAAGAAGTAATCTGAAAAAAATAACATTTTTATTTTTTTCTTAATGAGCATATCTTAAACACAACATTTTAGGAGCAACAACTATCCTTTTTGCTGTAACTGTTAAAAGTTTCATTCCTGAGATTCTTGGAATCAATGAAAGTTCTTAAAGTAAGCAAAGAGGAAAGAAATGTCTCCCCAGATGGGAAGCTGAGCTGTGGATCAACATCTCAGCCAGTTACATTCTGTCATTTTTCTATACATCAGATTTTTCATCTAGGATACATGACACTGTAATTTATTCCTTAACTACTGGCCCCCAAATGTGTCACATTTTTAAGGAGCTGAACTGTTCAGCTGAAAGATGGCATATAAATAAAAGTTATCGTTACTAAAGATTTACCATTGAAAGTAGCCTCGCTGTTTTAAAATGCTAATATTGAAACAAAATGAGGTGTTTTTTTTTTTACATCTGGCTTGATTTAAATAACATTCAAGTATCTCCTTTAAAATGATGTTCTGAAAAACATTAATATTTATGAATCACAGATTTAAATACATTTTCTGAAAAGCAGAATATTCCTTGAATATCCTTTGTCATAATCATTACTCGAACTATAAGAATCAAAATCTAGCTTTGGTCCATATCATATTTTTGATGGTTTCTATTTTTGAATCTGTATACTTGACTAATTGCATAGGAAAAATTAACATCAAATGCATGAAGGCAAGAGTAAAATAATAACATTTTATTTAAAAAACTATATTCAAATGAAGATATGGTCTGAGTATAAGCCGCTTGTGTTTATTTGCAGAGATGGCTGATGCAGAAGATGTTCACTGAGCTTTCACATGCACTGGTGTTGCATCGTAGTCTTGAAAATGAATCCCCTTAGCATTTGTGATCTTCATAATAGCGCCATTTAAAGCATCATCTTCGATGAGTGTTATTAATCCATTGGCAATCACTGATGGGCTAAAAGCAAAGGAAACACTGGTGTTTTAAAACGAAAGATACAGGCATAATTTTCCCTTCATTTTTGAGTTGCTTTTGAATAATCTACCACCTTTACTATGTAATAGGAAAATGTATATCAGGAAGCTATTGTTACCCCCATTCTCTTTTCTCCATTCGGTATTAACTAAATTATATGATAAATTCAGGGGGTAGATCCCCATGCCTAAACTTCTGTCATGTGGACAGGAAGGTTTTATGAATTTATATTTATTATTTACATTGACAAAAATATTATTTTTTCGTCTTTATCCTGTCAGTATATTGTAGACTTGCCAGATAAAAATGTTATTAGAGTAGAAATAAGAATTATAGCTACCATTTATTGAATGTCTGTTACTGATCTGTTGCTGTATCTTTACATGTATCAACTTATTTGTGGACTTTCAAAACTCCCCGAAGATTGTTTTAGTATTAGCCCCCTTTTACATGTGAGAAAACTGAGCTCGATGGCTAAGTTCATGGTCAGAAGTGGAGCCAGGATTTGATCCCAGATGGTCTGATTCCATCAGTGTGATAGCTACGACTTTGTACTAGGAAACTCCAACCACTCTAACTCACACACTGTTCACTGAACTTGTGTGATGATCCATTGTTCATTATGAAAATGGTTGAAGTTAGGGAACCATATGAAATTTCACAAAGGCTACATGTAAATATTGCTTGGAATTTAGGCAGATAGGGAATCATTGCTTTTAAAGGTAAGAAAACATCACCTTTTTAAACAGTATCTGATTATGGTTGAAGGTATTAATGATACATTGTCTATATCTTCAAGCAAAATTCATAATGTAGAAGCATATTCTATTCAGAAACCCAAGAAGAATATTTTCTTTTAAGAGTTTGCCAAACCAAAACTTTGAAGCTTGCATTTATTTCTCAAATTTAAAACCTAATTTTTCCCTTTCTATTGCTTATTTGTAGATAGTATTTTGCTCCATCATATAAAAAAGGTAGGTATAGTTTTACTTACTCCATAACCCCAAAGAATTTCATCTGATCCTTGATGTGATCCTTATATTTTATATACGGTCCCATGTTTTCTTCTTTTTCAATGGTTTCGAGGATGGGGGTATTAACAAAGCCTGGGCAAATGGCATTTATTCTCACACCACTTTTCATAAGATTAGCAGTCATCTGCCAATTGGAAATAGAAGGTTGCAGGTTTGGGTAGTTTTATAAATGCAGAGCATAGGACAAGCATAATTAAAGATCTTCAAAAGACTCTGATGAGAAAAGTACTAATCAGATATCCTTCTGGCCTCATAATAATGACAATATTACAGTTGGCTGGTAGTGGGAAGTAAAAGAATTTGTATCTAAAGTGCTGAATTAACTCCTGAAGGCCTCACCTAATTAATTTTTAAAGAATCAATATTACTAGACAACTCCTGAAAACAATGATCTAAGTTATTCTTATCTATTGAACTCTGCGAGAGCCTGAAGATAAGAAGCTGAGGCTTAAAATTAATATCTCAAGTTTTGTTTAAAAAATGAGTGTTGTATAAGAGAATATTTGCTTAAAAAATATTGTTAATGGAAGGTTTTAGGACTTTGATTGTAAAGATACTCTTGATTATCTGGAAGGCAATTTAAGTATCTTCAGACTAACAATCTTTGGCTTAATTTTCAACCTATTGATTTTATTTGAACTATTTGTAAAATAAAATATGCTTGATTGTTTGAAGAGTCTCTTTGTTCACATACTAAAATTATGTACTAAAATTTATTTGTAACCCCCCAAAATCAATAGGCGTGGAGCTTTTGGGGTCATCTGTGGACAGGCAAGGAGCAGTGAGAAATGTGAGTTGCCCAATGCTGATGTTCCAGCTGAGATCAAACAAAACAACACACTGTTTTCTAGTTTTGGCTCTTCTAACTACAAACAAGTGTCCTTTTCACGGTGTATTTAGTCCATGTTTTTCTCATTTTTGTGCTTTTTGTTTGTGATTTTGTTATTTAAAATGCTCCCCATCCCAAGCACAATGTTGAAACGCTGTCTGGCGTTCCTAAGAAGGCTGTGATGTGCCTTACAGAGAAAATGCAAGCCTGAGATGTAAGTGCTGTTGGCTGAGTTCAAGGTCAATACCACACATATTAAATAAGGCATTGTTAAACAGAAACTCAAGGGAAACTTTAAACAGAAATTCACATATGTGTTGACTGACTGATCAAAATGCTGTGACCAGAGGCTCGAAGGAACTTCTCTAATTCAGTGTTTGCAAGTGATTTTATCGAACATTAAGTACCAGAAATAAGAATTGATTATACAAATTTCCAGTCTTGTAACTGTCAATAGGAGATTTCTGGTCTTTGAGATTTATTTTGTTTTTTTTAAATACCTTATATATTCATTAAATATTGAATTAAAGATTAAGTCCTTGGAAATTAATTTAAAATTTACAATCAATTTAAATGAAGATTGTGAGAGCTGCTTATCTTCCTTTTCAGGTCAGACATGCACTGGTCACAGCCCACAGATGTGTTTTCTTTAACCTCAGTATTTCTTGTGTCGTTAATATGTGTCTCTCCATCTGTCTGGTCTCTCTCTCTGTCTCTTCTAGACTCTCCACAGCAGGGACCTCCCAATGTCCTCGCCTCTCCTACACCTGTCCTCTCCACACTCTCTCTAAACAGCAGCCAGAATGGTCTCGCTGAAATAGAAATCTGACCTTGCCACGCTGTGTATAAAAAATCCCATCGATGGTTTCATTTTGAATAAAGTCTAAGCTCATTACTGAGCACACTGAAAATTCTACTTAAGGAAGGCTGAAGCTAATACGGCTTAGATTTGGAGTCAATTTTAAAATTAAAGACTTTTTTCCCATTATTTAGCCTGTGGATATTTTTCTTTTTTAAAGATTTTTTAAAAGATTTTATTTATTTATTTTTAGAGAGGGAAGGGAGAGAGAAAGAGAGAGAGAGAGAAACATCGGGGGCCGTGGCCTGCAACCCAGGCATGTGCCCTGACTGGGAATCGAACCTGCGACACTTTGGTTCACAGCCCACGCTCAGTCCACTGAGCTACACCAGCCAGGGCCAGCTTGAGGATATTTTTCAATAACATACTGCATCTAGACTCTACCTCATTTTAAAATTATCTGGTTGTTTGGTCCTTTTTCATGTGATCTGACACTATTTTTTTTATAAAAGATTGAAGTATAATATTTTTCTATCTTTTACTCAGATGTATTGAATTCAGAATTTATTCCTCTTGACTGGAGAGAACTCATGGTACATATAGCTAGAGAGAGGAAAAGAGATACTGGGTGCTATATTCTCACCGCTGCCGAGCGCGTGAATCCAACTACGCCGTGCTTGGAAGCACAGTAAACAGGCTGTTGTCCACTTGGCAGGAGTCCTAAAACAAACACAAAATTGAAACAATTTTATTAAACAATAAGCAGATGGAACCCAATAATTGCTATGCAAATGAATAATTTGTGTCTGTTCATTTAAAAATTGATCTAGAAAATACACCAAAATAATTACCAGACAGCTTTGTAAAACTCACTAGTCTTAGCAGGGTTTATTCCTTCCATAACCTCTATCTACTGCACTGTCCAGAATTCATGGCAGGTAAGTTACAGCCTAGAGAGGCAGCCGAGAGTGCTATGTAAGGTTTTCTGACTCCGTGACTTTCTGTCAAGAGAAGTCAATGCTATAAAGAGAATCATATTTAAGTTCAGTAAGTTACCATCTAGTTTTCAGTTTTTCAGTCTAGATTTTTAAGAGTATATATTCTACATTTTTTAAAGACTTCCAAGTGACTTAAGAGGTTTAAATTGCTCAAGTGGAATTTAGAGATTATTATTTGTCTTCATTATAAATTAGTATGCATTTCCCTGTCAACAGTCACACCTCAAAGTATTTAAGAAAATTAAAAGTTAACTCCTTTTCATTTTAATCTGTAGGAATGCCTAGATCTTCTTGCCCTATGACCTCAGAAAAGAAAATCAGAAATAAAAATCTATGGTACTGTTTTATTTTCTTGCATCATCATGTACTCGACAACAGAAGTCAAGCGATGTTAGTATTTAATTTCCTACATATACACAATAGTGACTAATCAAAAATATGATTCATTTCATGGCCTGGAGGAAAAAGCAGTATCAGGGCAGTATAGCATTTTTCTCCTCTACCTCTGGGTCCCAATCTCCCTGCCCCCATTAAACAACAAGGAAAGCACATTTTACAGTAGTAACTGTTGCCATCAAGCTTGTTTCTCATAATTGTCAATTCTCCATCTAATCAGCAATAAGACTTTTAACTGGAGCCATTTGTATATTTTGCTTTTTAACTAATTTCTTAAGTAACCGATTTTCACATGTTGTGAAATTCGTGATTTCTGAGTCAAGAAACAGCGATCCCTGATTACTCTAATGTTATTACCACCAAATGTCATGCTTTTAATACTCAGTTATTCCGCTGAGACATGCTCATCTCCGCCCAGCTAACTAGTCCCAGAACACCACCAATCAGCTGAGCGTGTTGTGCCAACGTTCAGCCATAAATGCAGACCTTAACCACTCCCTGGGTGCCTGCCAGGTCTCAGTTTATAAACTATGTTTTCCCAAGAGCAGTTTAAAGCCTGAGAATGACAGTTCACACATTGTGCATCCACCCAGTGATCTCAAAGTAATATAACAGGTAGTTCTCATCTTGTTTTGTTTTGAAGTTAATTAAAATGTGTAATTTAATTAAGTTTGGCAAAATCAGTCACCAAGCAGTCATGATGCCTGCACAGGGTGCACAGTTGTATTAGGAGCTGAGATAAAGGATATAAATAGCTGCACCAGGCATTGCTGCTTCTTACTCCCTAAGTTAGTTGCTGTTTTACCTTCTCCTTAAACATTTCTCAAAGGTAGTGTGCTTGTGGGGTGGTGTTCACCAGCTGCAGGAAATGCAGAGCGACCTTCATCAGAGATAAGCTAGTTGACACAACCGTAAAAAGCATAAGGCTGCTGTTCCTAAATGTTGTCAAGGATGAATTTGGAATGAAGTTTTGTTATGTATGTCGAGGTACTGAACTTCTGAACCCGAGCTAGTTCAAAGTGTCACAGGACAGCAATGAATCAAATACTGTTTATGTTGTTTCTGTTTAAGAAGCAAGCACAAGACATACACCTTCCTTTAAAGGTAGAGCTGAAAATGCAACCAGAACATGAAGGAATTTGCATTTTTAAAACGGCACTTGGTTTTATGAATCTTGTTGTAATGTTCTAATGACATTTTCATTGCTATCCTGCCACAGGTTTACTCCTGCATAGTTTCACTTTCTGATATTAGAGCAAAGGCTTCATGAATTCATTTTAGACATGCAGAAGTTGAGGTATTACCAACATACAATAAAAGTTTTGACATATGGGTCCACCATGAAACCACAACCACAATCAGCATAATGAACATATCCGTCGCCCTAAGTTTCCTCATGTGCCTTTGTCACCCCTTCCTTGTGGCCTTCTCCCTCCCCCTAGCCTGCCACCGATCCGCGGGCTTTGTGTCACAGTACATCAGTTTGCCTTTTCTGGAAGTTTATATAAATGTAATCATACAGCAAAAACTTTTGTCTGACTTCTTTTACTCAGGATAATTATTTTGAGATTCATTCATATGGCAGTGTGTATCAATAGCTTATTTTTCTTTGTTTTTTTGTGAACACTATTTCAGTGGAAGGTTAACCTTATCAATTGTATGTACATTCACCTGTTGATAGATATGTGGGTTCTTTATAGTTAGGAGAATTATAAGTAAAAAGATATTTTTCAATTATTTAGGAAAGTTGGAATTAATTTAGATAAATAGCTTTTACATCTACAGTACACGTAGAATTTTCATTGTTGCTTCTTATGTTTCCAACAGGTAGGATGGGTTAGCAATCTGCGGTGTTTTCCCCAACTTGCCAACTGACTTTCTTCCTTCTTTCTTTTCCAAGGATCTCTGAACTTTTTTGACTGCCTGCCCCACTTCTGCTGCATTAATGCCTCTGAACTTTGGTGTCACTGGCCTCAGACGCCACTTTGTGAGTGGTGGTCTTCTGGATGGATTATAGAGTCGCTGCTGTTCAGAGCATCACCAAGATGGAAGCCCTCCCTTTCTTCCGGCAGGCGATGGTAGGTGGTGATCTGTCTCTGGCTTGATCTTGATGTGAGGCAGGGCCTCACACTCCTGGGCACTGCCCCTCTGGCCTGGTCTGGGGTGGCTCTGACTCTAGGTGAGGCAGGATCCCACTCAGCTGTTACATCTGCATGACATAGCACATCTCCACATCCCTCAGGCTGTTCTTCAAACTGGCCTGCAGATTCCTCTTCGAGTCCAGGTTGATCTCTAAGGACTGGACCAAACATCTTAGCTCTGTGAGTGTCATCTCAGCAGCTCCTATCTGAGCAGTCACTGTGGTGTTCTTCTCAGTCTGCTGGGACCAGTATTTGTCTAGATGCTCTTGGTTCTTTTGAGCCAGCTCGTCATCCTGGGCCCAGATGTCTGCCATGATCTTGCCGAGGTCTTGAGATTTGGAGTCATCCAACTCCACAGTCAACCCAGCTTGGCAATCTGGGTTTTTTTTTTTACCATTTACTTCCTCCTTGTGGTTCTTCATGAAGAGCAGCTCTTTTCAGAGCCTCAATCTCTGGCTCCAGCTGCAGCAGAGTGATAATAGTCACCTTTCAGAGCTCATTGATGTCACTCTGTACAGAATGGCACATGGCCAGCTCTGTCTCTTACTAACTTTGAAGTCACCAGCAGCAAGACAGGCACTGCCAATCTGCAGAATGATGTGGGCATTGTCCACAGAGCTTGCAAAGATCTGAGCCCTCAGGTCCTTGGTGGTTGGTCTTGAAATAATGCCTTTAGCCTCTGACCTGGGGTCCCTTCTTTTCCAGGTGTTCCCAGGTTTTGCTCTCCAGTCTCCAGTTATTAGCCCCTCACCCTCTGCAGGCAGGAGGCCAAGTGGACATTCAGGTATTGCATAGTTTCCTTCTCACTCTGGATGCCCCCTATGCCCACCAGACCCCCGACCATCTCTGAAGCCACGCCCCAGGCCCCAGCTGTCCTGCACGCTGGTGGAGTGGGACACAGAGACCTGGGGCCTGAACCCCCAGTGCCTGCACAGATGTCAGCCAGGCCCGGTGGGTGGATGACTTCATGTAGCCCAGGGTCAGGTAGTTTGTAGAGAAGCTGGAACAGGTGTTGAAACTCATGTTGTTCAGGGAAGAAGGTGAGAGGCCAAGACTCAGGTTCAAGCAGCTCAACTGACTTTAATAGTAAAGCCTGACTTGATAGTAAATGTAGAGATTTACTATCTCTACCTCAGTTTGCTGCTTTGAAAAAGTAGGTTAAATGGGGGGAGAAGAGCTCTTTTTCAAGCTTTTTTGTGACAATGATTTTAGTTGAAATGAAAATTTTTCAGAAATCATTTTCTATTGGATCTCAAGACACATTTTCCCTCCACAGGTATAGGACTATTGCTAATTGGGTTCAGCTTCAGTATTGATTAGCTGTACTTGTTACCTTAAATTCACACCCCAACACATAATGTTTCTATGTGCTTCAGGTAAAATTGTGTTCTAATGCTGGTAATAAAGGCCAATGCAGAGAACTGTGCCGAGTATGCCGAGCATGCACGGTGTGAGTCGGGGGACACCGCTCATGTGGTAGTTCATATGAACAGCACCCCTAATGTTTGTGCAGTTTACAGCTTACAGAACTACATAGGACAGCCCTCTCTGGTCGAGGAGAGTAGCCAAGCAAAAGAGAGAAAAGGTGAAGGGATTAAAAGAGAAAACAACAACAACAACAACAACAACAACAACAAACCTCACAGACTCAGAAAACAAACAGTATGGTGATGACCAGAGGGAAAAGGGGGTAGGGGCGGTAGAAGAGGGTAAAGGGGGGATAAACGGTGATGGAAGGAAATTTGACTGTGGGTGGTGAACACACAATATAATATACAGATTATGTATTATAAAATTGTACATTTGAAACCTATATAATTTTATTAACCAATGTCACCCCAATATATTCAATAAAGAGAGAGCAAGAAAGAGAAAGAGGAGCAGGTGGAAGTAAAAAAAAAAAGAAACAAGCTAAATGTTGGGTCATTAAGGAAATTAAGGATAACAGTATTTTAACAGACCTAGAGTGGTCAGTGTTATCAAGTGGAGAATCAAATGAGAATCACTCTCTTTAAGGTATGAACAGGTGTCAGTGCCACTCATCTGAAAATAGTATCTCTTTCTTGGTCTCACATCTTTCTGCAGCTACCACACCATTTCTCTTGGCAACAAAAAGTACCCAGAAAAGTTAGTACAGTCATCGTCTCTACGCCTCACCTCCCATTTGCTCCACAGCTCACTCTAA